ATGAGGTCCCTGTCTACCCAGCGCACAACACCCCGGAGGATCACCACGCCCGGAAACACCAGGCCCGAAAGCCGACACCGCTATCTACCCTGAAGAACCGGTGGGGTTCCCTGCCGGAGAGGGTCTCCTCGCGGTTCGAGTTGCCAGCCTCGCGTCACCGGGATATATACCCCGGATCAACCGCTCTCAGGCAAAACAGGGCTCTCTTCCACGTTCCTAGCGTCCAAACAGCCACAACAACCGAAACCTTCACTCCTTTCCTTTGAGATCCAAAAAACAATTCCGCCGAAAGTACAAAACCCCAAAAACAAACAACTGCCTGCGAATGACGGCAGCAGGCGGCGATGCAGCGGCGAGCAACGGCCCGGTGGCGAAGGTGGCAGCAGCAGGCGGCGATGCAGTGGCCGGCGACGGGGCGGCGAGTGCGGCAGCAGCCAGTGGCGTGACAGCGAGAGAGGGAGCAGCCGACTGCGCGGCGGCGAGAGCGAGAGCAGCCGACGGCGCGGCGGCGAGAGCGGTAACAGCCGGCGGCGGGCGCGGCGCGGCGGCGGGGCAGCGGCGGCGCCGACCAACTAGCAGCGAGACCGGCCGGCGCGGCGGGCAGTAGCAGCGGCTGCTCAGGTTGGACAGCACAATGTACGGCGTGGCAGCGGGGCCGCGGCGGCGCAGGCCAAGCAATAGCCGGAGCGGCGCAGCGACGGGGGCGCAGCGGCGTCGCAGCTCGGACAGCAGGGGGAGCGGCGGAGCGCAGCGGCAGCGCAGGCCCGTCAACGGCGGGAGCGGCGGGTAGCGGCGGTGAGGCAGCGGCGAGCGGGCAGCGACAAAGGCAGCACCGAGCGAGTGGCGATAAAGGTAGCACCGAGCGAGCGGCGGCGAGGGCAGTGGCGAGCGAGCGACGGCGACGGCAGTGGCCGGCGAGCAGTAAAAGCAGTAGCGAGCGAGCGGCGAAAGGGCAGACAGCGAGCGCCGAGGAACACACGAGCTGGGGGATGGAGCTACGCGAGGTGCTCCGAAGGAGTGGGGGCGGATCGCCGCCTGGCCAATGGAATGGTCTAAAAAAAACGTAAGGAAAAAACGCGATCGATCAAAGTGGGAATTGTGCCAGAAAAATTAAAGAGAATAGTTTAAACAGTTTATCAAATGTCTAGAAGAGCCTACGACCGGCTCTTCGAACCCAACCGAACCTTTGGGTAATTGAAGCGCTGTTCGAGAAGGATTCTGCGTAGACAAGTCTGTTCAAACCTGCCTCCCGGTCAGACCCACGCGCTAGTCGCCTAGGTCCGTTCCTTATATACTACATAAATCTAACCCTAAACAAAGGCAAGTTGGGCTCTCACCGCGTGACCCACTCGCGTGGTCAGGCCTCTTGAGATTAAATTGATAGACATTTTCACAGGTGTACCCCAAGACGGGCTTTAAAGGTTCACATTTGAGTGGGACATGATAGGGCCGAGCCATGATAAGGCATATGGGCGAGGGTAGCAGATGCAACGCTGGCCATATCGTGTAACAAAGGCGCCGGGAGAGACGAGACTTGGCCGTTCCAAACCAAAAAGTTGAACGGGAGTAAAAGCATTTCCAATAATTTTTTCAACCAATACAATCATGCCAAGTTTCAGGGTGCTCGGGTGCTGGCACGGCGAACTCTTCGCTAGGAACGCCCCTCAAGTGCCCGTGCGATTCGCAATCTGACGAGGTAGATGCTCAAGTACAGACGTGGTGAGGGCGCTCGGGGCGCCGAGAGTGTCGAAAGCGAGAGGTACGAAATCCCAATCAAGGCGAGGGAGGTCAGCATTAGCTTCCAGGATGAGCGTGCAGCTCGTATTATTCGAGCGTGGGCTCGCAGGTTGTCGGCATCGGCGATCTCTGCCGCTCCTGCGATTCACCGAGCGGTGAGGAGGGAGCCAGCTCGGTAGGGACTGCGCACAGTAACGTCAGGGGCACGGCGGCGGTGCTGTACACGTAGGCGTACGTGTTCTATCTGTACAGTATCGTTCACAACAATGAACAACGTACTGTAAACACTTTTTGGCAAAGCTTTTGGGCGAACCTGCTTACAGTACATCGGTGGGCGGTGCACATGTCGCTGGACACCGGCTGAGGCCGTCCGTCGTCTTGTAGGCCGAGCTACAGCGGGGGGCGCGGCTGACGGAGGGGCGAGCACGATAGGATCGTGGACTTGGTCAGAGAGGCTACGCGGCGACCAAGTAAATAAACGCGACTAAACGGTCTTCCATTTGCTTGTTTCCCCCTGACCTCTTCAACTCCCTGACGTCGCTGGTCAAGTGCTGGACTGAGCACCAAAGATCCCGATAGGTACTGTACGGCAGCATGTGGTACAACAACGAAGACTGTAGGTGTGTACGGATGGTGTGCGACGAGCGATAAAGGCCTCCTCGTCCAAGGAGGCCTTTATCGTGTGCTCTATCGATGTGCTCCGAGGAGCACATCATCCTGCCGCGACACGAGCAGCCCTAAGCTGCAGCTGCTGGCAGCTTAGGGCTGCACCAGCTGAGGGCCGTTCTACTTGGCAATAATTCTCCCATGTAAATCTGTATATCTGTATATGTCAGGGCTGAGAGCACGCACGGACAACCAACAGTACGAGTGCTGCAGCGCTGTTCTCGCTGGAAATCCACGTGTACGTCATAGTCGAGTAGGCGCAACAATGTCACCATACGTGTTACACCCCACACTCATACCAAGCATGGTGTATTGCTGGCACCAGCTCATCATGGATCAATAAGGAGATCCATTCATGTGCTGATCTGATCCACAAATAAACCATGCTGCCTTCTGCCTGGACTACATGCTGTAGTGACTACAGTGTAGTCCAACACAAGCACAGAATCGCGTGTTGCCCAGTTTTTTCTGTTAAAATTTCCAAGCACTGTCATGTTCGCGTGTACACATGAACATCAAGGCCATCGATCTCTGCTTGCATGCATGTTACACGTGGCTAGGCATCGACAGCAATGCCCACATGGACGATCATTATCGAGGCCCTGTGTCGCTCTGATATCGAGTCTCAAGAAGTGCCGCACAAGCACTCGTGTCTTTCGACTGTCCATCCAATGACTGTAATGTCCCAAGAGACTGCACAAATTGTGGGGCAGGGTCCTTGTGCAAGTCGAAATTTTATTTCCCGAGAACCGAAAAAGGGCAAGTCTGGCTAAAGTACAGTACTGTACAGTAGTACATACTGCCAGACTTGCGCTTCGCTGTCGACGTCACATATTTTGTAAAGTTACATCCTATGTCCAGATGTGACGTTGACTGCGATTACAAAAGAGACTCATGGAACGCCCTTTCAATGCACGTCTGGTAGCTTTCGCAGGAAAGAGGGCCAATTCATTCTGCTACGGAACTTGCTCGTGTCGGTGACGGTGGGGAAAGGTCGTAGTCTCGAGTCGTTCCACAGAGGCACGCGCCCACCACTGGTGGTCTAGATCCAAGGCAACGTGTGATCCAGACTTGGCGTTCATAAAGCTGTTCTGTAATTCTTCCAACAAGCCCAAACTTCCCCCCGAAGTAGTTCTTTTTTGCGCTTTTCTGTTTTCATTTTGCGCCATTTGATACTTTACAGGGATCTTTTTGTGCGGCTGCCCTGAACGAGAGTAATGTGAAGCGCTTGATTAATTATAGAACGGCCGCGCAAGATGATTATCAATGCTCAGGAAGCGGACAAGGAAGAGCGAGCGCAGTGCAAGTTTGCCGGCGAGAAGACTCCGCAATGGAATGTCCTCTTGCGCGACTCAGTGAGGAACATCACGCGTCCCACGCTTGTTGCTGTCACCGTCCCCGCGTCGGCGCCTTTGGCGAGTCATCTTCGATGAATGCCTCTTAGGACCGCCTGTCTCAAACTCCACAGACACGTCACAAATCCATTTGAAATTGCAAGCAAAGATGTTGTATGTTTTCGACTCCGAATGGCGAATCCAATCTGTCTCATGCAGGGGACTAGTCTGCGTCGAGTTAATCAAACGAGACCATAGTTGGTAGAGTCTCCCGCCTTGCACGAGAACAGTATGTTCGCGTCGAGTTGAAATCGCTTTACTAGCGACGCTTAGGAAACAGACTATGACGTTGGCTGGTGCTGCCGTTCTGAAGACGCCTACATCTTCAAACAACACACGCCGGCGTCCGCTCTTTTACTCTCTCGATAGCTCTACGCTTTTAAACGCATCTATCGGCAAACATGTTTGTTGCTCCGATATCGTGCCACTCGGACATCTCTACATTGCCAAACAGTTACAAATCGAAGACTTGAAAGACAGTTCGAGGCAGTTTGTGCTTTTCACAAAGACTGATCTACGGTTACCTCTGCTTTCAAATCATTCCCAGCATTCCCGTCTTGCTTGATCGATTGGTGTAATGACCACACTCATTTGGGTTACCAGAATATATCTAACAGGAGCTTAGTGTCCAACAATTTGCAATTAAAATTTTGTTTAGGGTGCATTTGAAGGGCTTGTTTGAATCCAAGAGAATGCGACTGCATAGTACAGGACATACTGTACTGTATATGGGCATGCATCACGACGGACTGGACTCGCCCTGCTTCGTGAGTAGAAGCGCATGGGGGGGGGGGGGGGGGGGG